ACCGATATTTGTTCACCTGTGCAAGATCAGAAAATAGTTTTTTTCCTTTTCCTGTAACTTTTACACACACACAAGTTGTGATTTTTATATATGTTACTAATATAAACACAAAAAAGCACTAAATGTTATTATATGAAAGTGCTTGCGTCTGTGCTTTCCCCATAATACATACACGTGCATCCTCAGTTTATTGAGCTTAACAGCAATAAATAATGGCAGGATCAGTCCTTTAATGGGCCCAGCAGAATGTTCCAGATGCCGACAGTACCCTTACTCAGCAGTAAAATGACTACATGTTGTGCCAAGAGACTGAGCCATTTTGATTTACATTATTGATGACTAATTGACTTACAATTTCAAAATTTGTGACAGATGTCATCCACAGGACAATGGAAAGGAAATACCCCTTTTATTTCTGAATGCTATATTAAATGAGCACTTAATTTTCACCAGTTCACTGTGTAGCTTCTGAGAACGTCTGAAAACGTTGGGCTCATTAAAGTTTGCTTAAGGATTATATACTTTGCAAATTAGACATTTTTAACTTCATCACACTTAAAACAGACACAAAATGTCCTTCTGAAGAAGGCAGGCATTTAATGATACAGTTTTTTATTTATTTATTTTTTTTTTTACATTCATCACAGCCTTTTCTCAAAGTCCAGATAGGTGGCAGCAGGTGAAGGTCACAAAAGTCAGGCAGATTTATGCAGGTAATTCATTTTATGCAGAATGAGTTTATAGATCAAGAAGCCCAAAAACTCAGCAACAAGAGACAGGATACAAAAAAAAACCTCCTTTCACCAAGGACGGAATTAAACCCTCGACTATGAGAGATGATAGCAGGCCGAAAGCCGATTGGTGGTAGAAACATTGTAGCACAATACAGTTGAAAGGAGGCACGACCAAAGAGACAGAAAATCAAACAAACGAGGGACACGTGAAGAATGACATACAAAATAAAACAGGAAGTGAACATTTTTTGTGATAATTAGCAAATCAAAAATAATGTGATGATAAAAAAGGCATTTCGGTTGTAGTACAATGTTTTATTGGATTAATGTTCAATACTTCTGATGTTTTGGTTTGTGCAAAGTATGATGAAATCAATCACACTGTTTATCTGAGGAGACATTTTTACGTTGCCTAATCCATCCGTTTTAAGCCAGTTAGGTTTAAATTAGAATGCAATATATGAAGCATAATGAGTATTATTTGTCTTGCACATAATTTGTAACATATTAAATGTGGTATGTATTTGTATATATATGAATTACACTAGCAAACCGATATCTTAATCTCATGCATCACACCTTTCAATTAAATAAATCCATGCAGTTTTTTTCACCACATTGTTCAATTCAATGTCTCATGTGACACACAGAAGTGGAGGTCAACCAACAATAAACGTCTATAAATGCTTTTAAATTTTCAGCAGCAACGGGATTCACAGTGTCTGAAACATTCACCTGCGGTAATACATTCACATAAAAATCCGTTGGATGACATCCTCAAATGACAAGCAGCTTCGTTGTGAGTATTTCATACACAAGGAGAATTGAAAAAAAAAAACCCATTAACATCAACCAGTGAACGTAAGTCTTTTAGCTTAGACGCCCGCCATTCCCCTCTTTTTCATTTATTTAATTTTCAACCCACCGCGTGTGAAATTCTGTGCAATCTACCAGTATCAGCCATTGATTAATATGACTTGTATAAATATTTAATTAGAAAACATGCTTCAGCAGCCGCAAAAGTCCGACATGTATTGAAAAACATATTCCGTATTTCCTATAATGTAATTAGAACTTTTCACCACCACATCAGACGAGCACACTGCTGCAAAATGAATCAAACGGGTGTGTTGAACTGACACCAGTTAAGTGGAGAGCAAAGATATAAAGTACCAGAAGGACACATTGATAGTCGGTTAGATTTGATCTTTTCTCAGCAACATGTGTAAAACTATCTGTGACAATTTAGTTGCTAAATGCACCACATTCCTTACTGGAACGAACGAAAGCATTGATAAGGAAACAATAGGAAGCCCTCAGGAGGATCCTCTGAGAATGACAGTTAGGTTTGGAGATATTTCCTTTTTGAAGAGTTGTTTTTCAAAAAACTCAAAGCAAAGGCGTAATGTGAACCAAACAAACAGAAAATGGACATCTGATACGACATCAAACACGTTTTCACATTCATCAGTGGAGCCTTGGCTGGTGAGCTCAACCTGTTTCCACTGTACTTTGTGCACGTGTGATACCATCATGTGCTCCTTAAATAGACTTGAGAGACTGCTCAACAACCTCTGCAGGCCGATAGCTCGCACATCGCAGCAAAGAGCCATCGCGTTCTTATCAGCGAGCTGCTCGTGCAACATGTTTACGAGCCGGCCCAGGTCTGGGACTTCTTGATACCGCCGAGTTAAAGAAGGAAAATACATATTTTACAGTTCTCTTTAGAAAGGACACTCTCAAACCATAACCAACACAAGCATTTTAAAGGAGTTGGATGCGCTTCTGTTTTTGTTTAATTTGATATAGATAAAGAGGGGGAGGGCCATAATGTAATTATCTGAATATTATATAATTGTTTTTTAAATCATAAACAATCTCTTTGTGTCTTTAAATCTGGAGGCATCAAGTTACTCCTCATCTCATGAGGCAATTAGTGAATCACTTCCATGCATTAGTGATTTAAATGAGAGCGATGGTGGCAGCTGGCAACACCAGATTCTGCAGATCTTATGAAGTCTTTTTCAAAGGCATCATTCACATGTTAATTATGAATTCAGAACTTGTCTTTAAAATCACCTGTTGAAGTAACCTGTTCCTTCAGGTAATAATTACAATAATTGACAGGATTAAAGCACGTGAGCAAACATTCACAATCCGTACAATCAAGCTCGGGATTCACGTGCAACAGCATGTTTGGAGCAGAGAGCAAATTGAGTTCTGACAGAGCTCTCAATGAAGCTATCTTCTCTCATCTTTGATGACGATTACACTGGGCGGATCAATACACCGCAATTTGTGGATTTTTTTTTTTTCCTGTGCGTCTCCCCGGGTTCTCGTGAAATTGATATTCTGCAGAGCCGCGTGAACTTTCCCTTGTGAATACCGAGTGGAAATATATAGTGCTTTTCTATTTACAAAGAATAAATTGTTGCTCTGCCATTTTCCGTTCCCCGGTGGCAGTCGGATGCACTGGGGAACGGTTGGATGCAAAAAGATTTAACTCACTGGAAAATTCAAAACCAAACCTACGTCCATTTAGCTTCACAAGGATATTCCTTCGCGTGATTATTCTGATGAGCGGGAAGCCTCAGAGTGTCCTGGGCATGGAACTGAGATAATTACATGACGCAGATTCATGTGGAGGCTGATTGAGTCAATTTTAAACCGACTGCAGCTTGAAAACAAACGTAATCATTGTTTTAAATTCATGGATGAAACTCCATATGTTTCTGTCAAATAAGTGGAGCGTTCATGAAAATCCACAGTCGTCATAGTAGTGTCATAACGAATGAAACCCACGACTTGTTGAGAAGATACAGAGGTTTTCTGCGCGTTCATAGCTGATAATGAGCTTTGCAATAATTCTGAATTATGCCAAGTTCCTGATACGTGTGCAACAGATTCCGGAACAAATTTGTTTCCTTCTATATATTAGTTTTTGCTCATAACCAAAGGTAATGTTTTGAGTGGGTATCTAATGCAGATCAGCTTCTCAATCGACTTTTTTACACGTGACTTTTTCAGCTAACAATTTCCGTGAGACTCATCATCACTGAGCTTATGTGTATTCTCCCATTTCAGAGACAAAGGCAGCTCCGCGCCAAACAAAGCGTACATTAATCTGATCTTGTTGGTTGATGTGGTGAGAAGGAAGTGCTGTTGCTGTGAATAAGTGTCTCATACCCCAAAGGTTACCATGGCAGCAAATGTGTCCATCCTTGAGATAACTTGAGTGAGATAGTGGATCCCTTCAAATACATTTACAGTGCAATACATGTCAAAGTTGCTAAAAATCAAAGATATTAGTTATATCACTGAAAGCAAATTGGATTTTCAATTGCACAAATAACATTCAATCACCTGGCACTAAAACCAAATCACCTTATTGAAAAGCAGCTAGGACCTCTAGTGAATTGCGATGTGCCATTCAAAAGAAATGAACAATAAACATATACTTGGAGTTAGCATGAAGGCTACAAAGACCTCTTAATCAACAAGTCTGAGTCGTCACAGAATTAAAAGCATGAATTGTGCAACACCTAAAGAATATGTTAATGTAAATACAGCCACTGTTCAACGACACACAAAAATAACGGTCTGACCTTTTTTTAATTATGATTTGTACAGTTTGAACACGGCTTCCTTCGTTCCCTTTTTCTCTCCTTGTCAGCCAAGTATCCAAAGACCTCCCTTCTCTCCACGTCAATCTATTAAACCGGTGAAAAGACTCCGTAAATATTGATTGTTTCTCTCCATAAACATTTGACTGGTGGAATTAGATACACTTGTCACTACACATTGTGTATTGACAAAACAAGAGTAACATTAATCCGATGACATACGTCAGAGTCAGGCCACTCTCCGATCCATAAGCTCATAACGTTCATCAACACAAATACAGTCATTTCCCTCAAACACTTCTTCACAAGACGGTATTCGAAGCTATAAATTACTGAGAAGCATATGCACAGAAACTTAACAGTGCACTCATGTTCAGGAGGCGGACTGGAGACTAATTGAAAGCTTCACATTTTATAGTCCTGGCTGCTTGCCGAGGAACACCACGTACTGTACATTTTACAATTTACATCAGCTGATACTCAGCAGGTAGCTCGGTCAGCACTCAGAAACAAGTTGATTCTTATTACTACGGACACAAATGAATAATCTTATTATCAACAACTGGCTTTAGTTTAGCATTAGCATTTTCCTTTTTTAGCGACCAATACATTTCATGTAGAATATGGCAACGCTATTTACAACTTGAAATGAGCACGTGTGATGTTTATTTCATAATTTACAGGTATTTACAAAAAAAAGCCACCCTTCCCCTTTACCTGGTTTATGGCTTCAAGTTGTTAAAAGTAAGCACTAACTAAACTAAACTAGAGCAGGAGATGCATATCTTCCATGTAAGCCAATTCAAACTCACCCATGTTCAGTTCTTGGGTCTTGCAGGTGAAAGGTAACTATGGGTCTATTCCCGCTCACCACGCGGCAGCCAAGTGCAGGAGGCGACACGGTCATGCATCCTTATGCTGGTTCACTGACTTTAAATGGAATTTGTGTTCAGCGAAAAAAGAAAATACACTCAGAGCAGAGTTGGCCCGCTTCTCATTAAAACTTTAACCTCCTCTCCCATTGTTCTGACATAAATGTTGCTCCCGTGTTTTTCAAAAAACCCATCCAAGACAACAGTGTATCCATGCGTCCAAGCCAGACGACAGCCGATCCCTGTCAAAAGTTGACTTAACCTGTTTTCTGAGGGTTGATGCCGTCTTGCTTCTGCTTATTGAGGACATCCAGGGCTGTCTGGGTTCCTTTCTGTTCCTCGATGGAGCAGTTGGACACTGCGTTAGCCACGATGCAGAACTTGCGGAGGAGGATCTCCCTGAGGAGCAGATAGACCCACGGGTCGAGGATCTGGTTGAGGGAGGCCAAGCGGATCGCTGTGAGAAAAAAGTTGCAATCCAACTGGACACCCCGGCCTGAGGTGCGATTGGAGGGCAACGTGGTTGAGCTGCAGTCGTGTGAGGATACCTGGTTGGAAATCATCCTCAGCATGAGCACCTGCACGAGGAGAGAGACAGGCCAAAGTTATATGAGCCCATAGGATGCACTCTGTAATTCACAATAGTAATACTCAATGTTCCAAGTCGCCAGATAGTCCTGAGTACATACCGTAACAACTAGGATACTACCTGGTACCACTGTGCTGTGCTTTCTATTAATGTCCTGTGGCTATTAAATATGTATCTGACAGGACCTCACAGCACACAGAGCAGCCCCCCCCCCCAAAACAGGACTCGGCTAAGTGGATTGCTCCTTAATGGGAAATGGCAGCTACCGTCCATGGCAGAGGGATCATACATGACAGTGTCTACTTCTGCCAACAAGAGATGAAGCAACTCGACATCATGAAACCAATGTATCACGGAGGAGACTGTATGTCGAGAAATGATTTGGCCTCCTCAGTTCCATCCGTGCCATGGAAACGTACCAGCAGAGGAGACCAGCACACGAGCAGGACGCACATGATGCCCAGCAGCTGGATGACGGTCTCCGTGGTCAGCCGTTCCCACTGCTTTGAAGACTGAGACGTGCCGGACTTTGTTTTGCAGCGCACGATCAGGCCCCGGATGGTCACCACGTTGCAGAACAGTGTAACAAGGAGGGAGAAAATCCCGAGCACGGCGAAAGTGACGGCGAAGAACATATTGCCCGGGACTTTCCTGTCGCCCGTGCTGATGAAGCACCAGGTGCCCGGCCACTGGCGGGTGTATTCCCCGACCCCTGCGGTGGGCAGCAGCGCAAAGATCAACACGAGACACCATATGACTGCCAAAGTCTGCTTTGTCACACTCGTCTTCATGTGATTGGAGTACCAGTGGGGGTTCGTTATCGCCAGAGCCCTTTCAATCGCCATGGCGCTGGCCAAGAAGAGAGAGCACAGGCCAAAAGTTGTCATGCACACACCGAAAAAAGCGCACAATTTGCCCGATGAGTCGATGCGCTCCCAGTTCAGGTCCGCCCGGTAGACTGATATCACTATTGGACTTGTCAAAAGCTGTCCAAACAGGTCGGTTAACGCCAAAGATCCGATGCAGAGCAAGAAAGACTTTTTTCTTTTATTTTCCTTTTTTTTGTAAGAGATATACACCAGCATAAGAGCCAATGAGTTGCCCACCATCCCAGTGATCATCATGGTTATGGGGAAACCAACTGATACCGATCCACAGCTGGAATTCTTGGTGATATTGCCTTCGCGCAATGGCTTGGAGAGGTTAAAGTCCAACATCTCTCCAATTTTGATTTGGAAATTATCCGGAGAATCACAGCGGTCCGTAGAGGTCATTATGAAAAGGATGCGTTTCTCTACAGCTGATAGCCGGTGTGTGAGGGTCCGGCATCCTCTACTTCAACTGAACGCAGTGCGTAAACTGCGCGTCGCGTCCTTTACGCGCTGGAGGCGGGACTGAGGATCGGGCTTCTTCTTGGCCCCACAGGAAGCGAACAAGGTTCTGGACACACTTTGACATTTTTAAAATACCGTGTGCGACTTCTGGGAAGTTATGTTATGTTTAGAAGAGCCTTTTAGTCATCACGGGTCACTTTCCTAGAGAGTATATTTTTAGTGATTACAAACCTGGCGGATTCATCCGAGATACGGAAATGAAACAACCTGCTCTTCACCCGTATCATGTTCTGTTAGACGTAAATGTTACAGGTGTTTGGACTAAAAGTATTCCTTTCTGACTTTTCGGCGTTACAGCGGCAACAAGCGCCTCCTGCTGAGCAGAACGGGAACGGCAACACGCTGAGCTCATTCAGTATTTATCTACTGCGCACCAGTCGATTCCACTATAATGTGAATGTTTGATTGATCGGATGGTAATAGCTCACAATTAACATCCAGTTAGTGTCCTAACAAACTCATATCAGTGGAGAGCTGTATAACGTTATACAACTGTATTAGCATTACTCAAATCCCCACACTTAAGAGAATGGCTGAATATAGTAATAGTGGAATAAATCACACTTGGAACGATTATTAAAACAGCGTTCGCCTTAGCAGTCGTGACCGTTCCAGCCGTACCGTGGAAAAATAAACTTAAAGCCGTTGCAAGAAACCATTTCAACAGGTGTTTATTTACAAGTGTACATTTGTGTTGTTTCACCAATTAAGTAGTATTGCCACACTACTAGGAATCGGGATATACTGTACGGTGTTGGTTATTATGGGGGGTAGTAATCTGGAGCACTACTTTTTTTTTCTTCTCTATGTAAGTTTCCACCAAGTTACAAATTAAGAGGAATAACTGAATGGTAAAAAAATAAACAGTAATCACCTAAAAGAATGTTGAATTGTAGCCATTTAGTTAAAACAAGCAATATAAAGTAAAATACTTACCTTCAAAAAAAAAAAAAAAAAAGAAAATATTTATGTTCAAGATGAAAATTCATTGCTACGACTGTTATTTTAAATGGATGCTTACGTACTTCACCTTTTATTTTATTAAAGAACGCTCTCAATACGAAAAAAAGGATAAAGAAAAGAAAACGAAATATATTTACTTGAATCGAGTTGAATAAAAACGTACTGCAATGAAGATATTGGTTTAAAATGGCATAGCAGGCTGGCTTCACAGTATATCTGTTGTTCTACGGGACCACCCTTGTTTATTGGACAGCTGCGGTTGCGGCCACAGGAGTTGGTAATGATGGGGTAACGTCAGGGAGAAGCCCGGTCACCTTTTTTTGAGGGAAATAAGACTTCTTTTTTTTTTTATTAGGAAAATGAACAGCATACTCAAAATGATGTAGTTGCATCCTTTAAACACAACATGCACTTTTCTACTAGGGTTCCTTTACTTGTGTTAAAAGGCTCTAATCAAGTTATTTCTTTTTTGAACTGGAGCCAGAATCGGATGATCCAGAGGACGGGGCACGGCACCTGGAATCACACAAACACCACGGGAAGAAGATCTAGGTCAGCGATTTCAGCAAAAAGTACACAGTAAAAAAACAACAAAACAAAAAAAAGGCAAAATGTTTCTGTAAATCTGAATTCCCTTAAGCGAGGCAACAGTTGGCTAATATTAGACAGTGCCATTCCACAGAAACCCAAACCTTTCGGACGAATGTGATCTAGAACGCTTCCGCCTTTTCTCTCCAGATGAGGACCTGGAGCGACTGCGCTTCTGTCCCCTCTCGGGGGAGGAGGAAGGTGAGCGGGACCTCTTCTGGGGAGAGGAGCCCTTTCCAGACTTGGAACTGGATCTTTTGGGGGGGAAACCAAGCACTGAGATCAGTAAAGTCGATACAACGTCTCCACAGTGTGGGTACTTATCAAGCGTCTCTCCCATTAAGAGAACTTTATTAGAAACTAGTGGTACAGAGAACATTTTAACCAAGGCCAAAAGAGCATTTTTAGCTTCCTCTGGATATAACGAAAGCCAGCACTGCTGTTAGATGCTTGATCAAGACCCTAGGCGTCTATTCAGATTTTTTGTAGTTACAAATTTTGGGTAGTACACATATTGGGTACTTTTTAAGCGCTTGGGCCTAATGGCGAACCCCAAAGAACCGTACATCAAAATGACTGGAAAACAAAAACAAAAAAACACATGAGGGTAATACAAGGATTTTCCTAATGACGTCAGCTCCAAATGATTATCTGAAGAATGACAAAGGAGGACCGCAGTGGAGTAAGCCAGATCCAGTCTGTGGTCAAACTTAAGCTAGGCAACAGGTCTGTCGTGGAGCTTCCAGTCAGCCCCATACATGCACTCTCTTAGCGAGAGAGTGCATGTCACCTCATTCACCTGGAGTGGGACCTCGAGCGAGATCCAGACCTGGAACTGGATGAGCTTCCAGAGCGGGACCTGAAAGACAAAAAGCAGACCCTTTCCAGTATTTCCTGAACAAGAACAAGTGTTTGCTGGTTCACATGGCAATACAGGCCGATGCTACACATTCAGAGTAAAACTATTTCTGCCTTAAAGCAAATATTCTGACTAAATGTTTAGGGGTGTTTGGAAAAATAAACCCAGAAATTAGAACTAAAACCTGGAGCGGTAAACAAGTGCAGACAGTAAACAAAAGTGCATTTCAAAACTACAGAAACAGAAATGGGCATTATCCAGAAAAATAATTAAATTCAAACAGCAAGTATCTAACACCACAGACAGGGAGGGGTTGAGAAAACAAAACAAAAAAACAACAAATTAGCAGAATACAACATGTAATTGATGTTTGGATCAGTAAACCAGAAGAAAGATTGGCTGATACTGACATTTTGCCTGGAGTTACCCGTGACCTGTACCCTTTACCTGGACCTCGACCGTGAACTGGAGCTGGAGGAGCGCGAAGATGAGCGGGACGAACCAGAGTGGCTGCCCTTTTTCTTAGCTGGTTTGTCCTCATCATCGCTGGCATCCAGGTCATATTTTGACACATCTCCTTCCTCCTCATCATCATCGTCGTCGTCGTCATCATCCTGAGGAGAAAGTGTGTAATATTCCATTGTTGTTGGCAAATATTACAGCACTTCTATTCATGAATTTCCAGCTCACGCCAAAACACTTACATCCAATTTGTATTTGGAAAGGTCACCATCTTCTTCATCCTCTTCATCCTCCTCATCCTCTGGAACCTTTGCTACTTCTTTCTTTTCACTTTCTTTGGAGGGCGGCGAGTTCCTTCCACGAAACTTTTTCTTTTTCCTACCAAACTTGGATATTAAAGAGAACACAACCATGTCAATGCAAATTACTTTAGACAAAGAAAATGTTTTAGGACACGTTTTTTGACCTAAACACTCATATGCTTATATGTTACAGTATGTCAGCTGCATTTTTTTTAAATGATCAATGCAGTACATTTTCACGTAGAACTCACTTCATCATATTCACCATCGGATTCCTCCCGTTCAATGTATTCTACGTTCTCCCTTTCATTGAAACCACCACCATAACCTGAAAGGCAAGTATCAGAAAAAAAGAAAAGGCAATCAATAACAGTCTCTCATTAGATGCACCAAAAAAACTGGAAAACTACTGAATTGTTGGGCTACCCGTTCTCTCTTCAAGCTTGGCATATTTTGGGGTGTTACACATGTTGCACTCTGACCTCCTAGCCCAATTGACATTTCCACATCTGTATGAAGACAGAAGGAAAATAAAAACAGTCAAAACTGAACATTGTCTCAACTGGCTAAAATATATACATTTCTCTCAGGAATTTCACCCATTTTGGAACATCTTTGTATTTACACCACACTCTGGATTAACGAAACATTTTTCATATTGCCTAAAAACACGTACGTTTTGCATTGCCAATCATTTGCACTGAAGAGGCCTCTGCTCTTCTCAGCCAGAGTTTTCCCGATCTCTGTGCCTCCAGCTTTCATCATCTTTGCCTCTGTGGTTTTCTCTGTGGAAGCAAAACAATGGCATTTAATATAGCTGCTTTTGGACAGTACGTATCAAGCGTCTTCCAAGACACATTAAATGGACATAAACGACTCACCCCTGCCACATCTGTTACAACTTGTTCTTCTAGCGAAGTTCACGTTTCCGCACCTGCAAAAAGCGTGCAGAATAAATAGATATACATCACCCCTTAGCCATGAACCGAGCGTGCTACACAAAAAGAGGAGTAGCTCAGAGCGGGTCTATTCATGGTGCATGTGCCTCAGCGTTAGCTTGTAGGCGCTCACACGTCAGGTGGCCTGTGCACGGACGACCGGCAGCTGGCCTGTCATTCACGGACAGACATTTGGCTTTTAGTTGCACTGTGAAACTCACGACAACTTGACTCCTACGACGCTGTAAACACCGCCCACAACGCTGAGTGGGGACTCTCACCCGACCCTCAGAAGCTAACGATAGCTAGCTTGCTAACGTTGAAGTCTGCGCACACTGACAACTATTGTGGAGACCACGCCACGTAAATTGCAAACACAGCCCCTCAACCCGCAATGCTTGATTTATTCGCCGCGTTTATTTACCATTTAATACAGCTAATAAAGTATAAAAACGATGTAATTGTTAGTTGCTAGTTTACTCCGCTAGTCGCCGTTAGCGTGAAACGCCAGAAGGCCTAATGTTGAGCTAACCACCGTTTGCATGTTAGCTGACAGCAGTTTAAACAAAAACTATAGTGCTGCATTTAACGATTGAGTACGTGAAATGTTCGAAAACAGAGGAGCACTCACTTCTTATCAGGACAAATCCAGTCCCCGTCGCTAACTCGAAAACTCTTCCCCGACATGCTCGTGGCTGTTGGCTAACACTGGCTGGCTCGTTGGTCGAGTGTGCTCGGACCGCTCTAGCAGCAGCTAACAGTTAGCCAGAGTCGGAGCCTCCGCCTCCTGATCCCTCCACTGATGCCTTCAGGTGCATATCTGGACAACTCTGAACTGCCCTATTATTTGGAAATTATGAGAAACTATCTGCGGGCAGTGTTTTCTTTCCGTAATATAAGTCAATATAATGTGGATGTATTGAAAAAAAATAATAAAATGCCACAAGTTCATAACAGAATTATAGCTGCAATAATTCTCCCCCAATTCTTCCGACCCCCACTGGAGACGCAAATGCAGCAATGATTTATTAGAATCGTAAAATAGTCTCCTTTATATGTGGTGGTGGTGTGGTATTCGCCTAATCGGGCTCTGCCAGTTTGATGTATAGGGTTATTAATAAAAGCTATATCCAAGAAATGTCTCAGGAACTTATCAGAAAATATGCATGTTCTTAGTAATACAGATTGCAAATTGGCTATAAAGAAGCAAAACATGTATGAAATAAAACTAACTTTACGTCCCTCCAGCTAACGTGTTAGCCGTTAAATTTAGTGTATTTTTTTCCTTTATTAAATACTTGTTATTTATGAAGGGGGAAATAGGGCAGGGAGTTGGAAATTCAATATTGTAATTTAAGAAAACGGAAAGTATGCAATGCCATTGTTGATTAGAGTAAAATAGGATGGAAGATACTGAGACTGAGACAGTGCATTTCCGTTTGGAATGATGAATATGTTGCACTCTTAATC